CAGAGCCGGCAACCCCTGGCATGAATACAGCAAGAGTGCCTGAACCAGCTAGCCCAGCACCACTGCGTGCTTATCGCATTCCGCAGCCAGCCACCCCTGCCGGCCTCAGTGCAGCAAGAGTGCCTGAACCAGCCACGCCTGCACCTTTGCGTGCCAGCACTTATCGAGTTGCAGAGCCGGCAACCCCTGTCATGCATGCGCGAGTTGTTCCGGATACTACAACTCCAGCGCGGTTTGATGCACATTCACCTTTGCCCACTCCAAGCGCGGTTTCTGCAAATTTTCGGGAACCCTTGCCTCCTCGAACACCTGCGCCAGCCACAAGACCCGAGCCAAAGACTCCGGCCCCAGCTTCGAGGCAACGCATTCCCAAAGTTTGAGAGAACAATCAGATACTTACATCTCCGCCAATCGTGTTTGCACGATTTTTGCATGTGTCCTTTGAGGCTTCGCATCGTTTAGCCACCTGGCCCACGCATGCTAGTCAAGACGGTGCACCAGCATCTAGCGGGGTACAATAACTCGTCGAAGTGCATTCAAATCTTGACTTTCCATAATCACTCACCAGAAACAACGTTTGACCTCTTCATGTGACATTGGAGGGCTCTTGGCAATTCACCAGCACTCCCTGAGGCTGCCTGGTGAGGAGGCTCTACCGCCTGGTTGGCAAAAGTGCCCGACCTATCTTGGCATCATGCATGTTTAGTGCTCTCAATGTTTTGCCGAATGGCACACATTCAGGTAATAGCAAGACCGCTGATTTGCTTTGCAAAGGTGTTTGTCGAAGCAGCACAACAAGCACTACTACTTTAATGCCAGGCTGAACAAGTCGCAGTACGCGCGGCCGACCTCTTGAAAAGAACTGCAGCCCCAAGGGCAGGACTGCGACATGCTTGGCGCATGATGGGCGCAAGTGTCCAGGCACCTCCCTGAGCGCATGAAATGATTTGCCGCGAGCTTGTACAGAAGTCGGCAGATCGACCCGAAAAAGCCAGCCTGTCAAGCAGACGCTCAGTCAAAACTTGCGAGTATATCCGTATGACCTGGTGCGCCTTGAATCTCAAAAAAGGAACCAGGGAGGTTTGTCGTTCTCAACCCTTTAAACTGTATTCTGGCTTGACAGGTCATGCCAAGGGCTCGACTATGAACACGTGGTCTTTCATCGTTTATGCCCGAGATCTCCACGCATCTTCACGCGGTCAACAATGCAGCTGTGCAGCGCACAAGCATGAAATGCAGGCTTATTGGATGCGTTTTCGGAATGCGCACTGGGCGCTCTGTCTGCAGTTCTTCTGGTGAGAAGCTTACTGACCATGCGTGCAACAGCCCTGACTCCACAGTGCGCTTTGGTTTCAGAGGTCATCCTCTGCACGGTCCCAAGTTGCCGACCAGCTTGCTGGGAAGGCACGTGTGCAGAGCCAAGGCACGGGCAATTGCTCTGGCAGTGACAAGTGCCTGGCTCAAAAGCTTCAACAGGCTTAGGAGGGCGTGTATGAAAGCTATTTAGGTCGACAGCCGCATTCGACGAACTGTGGTCACTGCCCTCAAGTTTGCCTGCAGAAAATCGCAAAGCTTGGAAGCAAATATAATTCTGAGAAGGAATGCCCTCTTCAGCAGTCGCGTCAACATGCCTCTGTGCGCAGCATCAAAAGTCTCCTCGGAGAGCTTGGAGATTTAAAGCCTCAAGAGGTATCTCCTTGGCACCTCGGCATGGCCAGTCGCTTCTCTTCTTGTTCGGCACCAAGATGCGGACAGATATGCCGGAAGTCTCAAAGTTGGTCTCTGAAGGCAAAGTGGCAGTCCGCCTGCGCCATGTTAATGCCGCAGTGGGCCTGACAAGACTGGTAGCATTGAAGTCATGAATCTGACTTTCATCACCAAGGTCCAGCGTGCAGCCCTCAGAGCTTTCAGGCCAGTTGGAGGTTGTTGCTGCGGGCTTCCTGCTTGCAGGACTCCAACTTGACGGAACTCTGCCAGCAGCCGGAGCTGTAGTCTTCTACAAAACATCTTGAAGCGTTTTCCTGCTCCTTCTCCAAGCCAGGCCAGAAGTGTTGGAGTTCCTGGAGCATGTTGAGCTAGCCACACAGGAGCAGTCCGAATCTTATTTGAGTTGATTATTATAGCTATGTTCGCATGATTTCGCATGCTTTCCGCGCCCAGTCTGATGCCCTTGCTCTGGCTGCCATACGAGAAAGCTGGGGCAGCAGAAGTTCTGTGCGAGACTTAGATGTTGCCAGTGTTTGCAGTGAAAGGGACTAGATCATATCTCTACGAGCTGAACCAAGACTTGGCCTTTTCGTCTCCAGCACTTTGCGCCTGCAGCTTGTTCTTGAAGCATGGCTGTGCACCCAGCGCCCTCCCAACTGTCTCATCTAAACGTGCCGAAGGTCCATTAACAACGTTTATGAACAGTCCCTCGGCTTTGAAGACTTGTTTGCGCAGCTTGTGCATGCCTTTCTGCTCGCTTCCTTCGAGGTGGGCCCAGAGCAGAGCCAGATTTTTCTACCCATTGCGCTGCAGCCGGTTCCCTCATTTCCTCAAGCGACTGATCGGAGTGTGCTTGCAGGCTTTTCCTGTTTGAATTCACTCAGTGAGGTTATGGCGGCCGAGGGTGCGTCGTTGCTTTTGTGCACGCCTGAGTCTTGCAGCGAGCGATACAAACACTTGCTCAGCCTGGCCTCCGCCACCTGGCAGTCAGGCTCTCATGCACTGGCGTAATTCTGTTCTTATGCTCAGAAATGTCGCAAGCAGGATGGTAATTCTATCATTCTTTTGACTTGTGATTTGCAGGTAAGACCCACCTCACAACATGTCCCGAAATCCAAAGGCCCCAAGCCAAGGTACCCAACCTCCTAAAGGCCTTAAAGCCGTAGCTTTGGCTAAACATGCGTCCGCACTGATCTCTGGACCACGTGGGATGTAGAAGCCTGGCGCTCGGGCCGCCAGCCGCAGACCAACAAGCAAAGTGCCTGGGCATCTTCCGCGGACGAAGGAGAGCCACCTCCTCCTGTGACCACCCAACATGGCCATAGAGTCGGCAGATCGTCAGGCTAATCGCCTAACAGAAGGATTCATCACGCACGACATCATCACGAAAGCAAAAGTACAAGAAAAGGCTTCATGAGAATGATCAAACCAGCAGAAGGCATTGCTATGTTCTCCTTGGAAGCATCTAGCATAACAAGAGTGTATTGGGTGGCATCCAGGGAGCTCTCTTGTGTTCCAATGGCTCCAAATGTACAGGGACACAGGATGTGCTCAAGGCCTTGGGGCCGGCTGGCAGGGTCACGCTGGGGCAGGGGACAATGCTTGGACCAGAACGCCCCAAGAAAGGCCTGCCGTGTTGGTGGGTTTGACGGTGAGCAGTCGGCACATCGTCCCTGCAGAATCCTCATATGCAAACCTGCTATGGTACATCCAGATAATTGTTTGCCATGTTAGGAGAAATTCATGCTATGGCTTTCCGCGCCTTCGGGTGTGATGCACGTGTTCGCTTTCTAAAGAATTTCGCGCCTGTGTACGCATTCTACACGCGTTCTGGTACCAGATCGCGCTTGAGGGATGTGTTGCACGACCCCCAGGGTCAAACTAGAATCCTGATGTCAGGATTCGGTTGTTGGGTACGCCAGTGCCGCGTGACCCACTTCACTGTTCTGGGCCAAGTTTCGTGAAAAAATCTTTGAAGTTTTCGCCTGCGTTCATGCGTGACCTGATTGCGCAGGGCCTCGCTTGACAGAGCAAGACACCTAGACACCTAGCCTACTCAGGGTTCTATCGCACCGCATGGACTCAAGAGCTTAGGTTTGCAAAGCTGGTCACCCGCATGTCCTTTCTCGGTATGACAAAGACCTCATCTGTAAGGATCTCAGACTTGGGATTTGGGATGTGCCACACTATGCCGCACTGTTGTGGGTTCCATACAAAGATTTGCGAGCGCTTGCCATGTTGCACAGGCTTTCGCTGCTACGATCGCCGCATCGCACCATGTGGCATGGCGATCGCAGGAATCTGAGCGCAGCAACTGAGATGCGATCTCATTTGCCGCTGATCAAGGCATGATCTCTTCCTGGATGTCAAGCGCAGCGAGGTGTCCTGAATGCGGCCCACTTCTACCAGATCGCAGAAGAAGCATGCTACTTTTCGAAGGGAAAGATGTGCTCTTAAGTGCAGGTGCGAAGGGTGCTCGCCAAAGCTGCTGAGCAGGACAGAGAGTTTGACAGATGCTCCCCTTATAGTGTTCTGCTTGTTGTTCTGCCTGTGGGCTATGTGAGGTTCAAGGGATGGAGCACTGCCAGTTTGGCTGTGGAGTGCTGCAGGGCTTTCATGAGGCAGAAAATCTTGACGCAGCATTCCGCATTAGCTTGTGACTGCAAGCAAAGTTCTGGACAGGGCCACAAGAGCCGTCAAAGATATTGGGAGGTGGGGCCAGTGTCCACAGTTTCGTCTTGGCACGTCTGCAAGCCAGTCTACTTCATTTCAGGTTGTGAGTACCAGTCCAGATCTTCCACCGTGACGGCCCAACCAAGTTTGGTGTATGTCTCGTGCGCTTACAAAGCGGAGGTTGTGGAGGCAGATTGGCAGTTCGGGCCTGGAATACACAGAGCATGCGAATTGGAAAAAATCAGACATCGCACAAAGGCTGGCTCCTCTCTGGAGAACATACATCGAGAGACACAAAAGGCTGTTGAATAGCCGGCACATGGCCCCGAGTTTCTCTACACAAAGTATCTTTGTGTCAGCAGGTCACGGGCAAAGAACACCAAAGCTGCAGCCTCAGGGGAATGATGTAGATCAAGCCAGATACGACGCCACGATATTGGTTGTACTGTGCAGAAGCCAAAGAATCACCTTCACCAGATTCCGGCCCAGTTATCAGCTTCTCATTCAGAAGTGAGAGTCGTTTCTTTGCACAGCTTGATTCTGCTCATCGCCGACGCGAAGGTATGGTGCTTCAGCGGCACCTGTGTATTTTGCCACTGGATATGGACAGATGGATGATCGCTGGGTTTCACATTTTCTGAACAGAGCCTTGGACTTGAGGCTGGTAATTGCCAGTGCGCTTGTACTTCAGCATTACGCAGCTCACAACACTCTTGGAGCGACAGGCTACCGCGTTTGGTCTTTGCGACTCCGACTGCACAGCAATGGCCTCGGCAACGTACCACGTGTTGCTGTCAAGGCGCTGCACGTGGTCATAGCCTGGCCCCAGCGCAAGGTGGATGCTGTCGTGTGAAGACGTCCGACAGACCCGGCAGAGACTGCCCGAGTTGCTATGCCTGCGTCTCAAAAACTGTTGGGCATGTGCTGAAGATGCAAGCGTTAATTGTGAGGTTTGCGCTTCTCAAGCAAACCAGCTAGACCGCTTGACGTACATGACAAGGTGGGTGCGGCAGGGTAGATAATTTAGTGATATGAGCGGAACTTGCCAGGCCAAGTTCTTCTTGTTACCTTTGTTTCTGACCCTGGGCTTGGACCTTGGCGAGGAGCATACTATCAACTGTGAGGGACAGCATGCGACCTGCCGAGGCCTCGACATAGTTTCTTTGGACTTGGACGTCTTCTTGTTCAAGGTGCTCGGCTTCTAGATTCTAGATGGAAGTCGCAGAGGGCTTGTCCATAGAGGACCCCACACCAAGACTTCTGGAAACCGTCTACAACAAGGCCCACAATCCTTTGGATGTAGCGGTGCTGCTCCTGGGCAATCACTGCAAGGGACACCCCTGGGCTTCACAGCTTCGCCCAGGTTACTGACCATTTCGACGGCACCTGCCTGAATGCAGGGGTGCTCTACGCGAATCCGACCAGTTTGTTTTCAGCTTCAGGAGAAGAGTGGATTCATCCCTGAGCTCTCAAAAGGAAAATGCTTTGCCTCGCCATTATGCGAACCAACCATGTTTTTGTTTGGAGGGTTTGGTCAATGCCTCCTTGCAACGCGTAGGCAAGGCTGAACATGGGTAAAGCAGCAGAGACCAACGACTGTTTTGTAAAAGCCCAGCAAGCGAGCATGATGTGCAACAGCTCTGAAACTTCGAAAGCTGCCGAGTGCTTTTGCAGGATGTACTTGTCCCAGCGAGAGGCCCAGGCAATTTTGGGCAGCCGAAATCCATGTTAGGCGGACAGGCGGACACCAAACAGCCAAGCAAAACGACAGCTATGGAAAGTGATTTTCCGCAGCTTGTGATTGAATGCATGTTTCATCTTATGCGAAGTACTAAGGTCTGAGGTGAGTCCGGAGAACAGCCCCAAGCGCAAGTGCCACATCGGGGCAACAGAAGTAAAGGTTGGGGGAGCTCTCCAAGCCAGAGTCAGAGCAAATGTGGAGGATGAAAGTTCCAGCGCCGCTAGGCGATCCCCACAGCTCTTGCTGCATGCCGCACAGAACTAGCTTGCATCCAATGGCAGAAGCTGATGCGACTCTTGCAATCACGCAGGCTGCGCCTTCTTTGGCTTGCAACACCTGTTCGATATCCGCACAAGTCGACGTTTACAATTTCTGGGTCACATTGTCCCTGAGCCAGGTCCGGGCAAGCGACCAAGCGTTGTTGTGGATGTTGCACCTTACCGGCAAATCTTCTCTATTGAGATGCTCTGGTTGCAGATTCATCCTCAAATCACATCAGGCAATTTGTGGAGTGGCTCCACAACTACCCATATGGTGTCTTGCTGAGATTTAAGATGCTGAGCATGTGGCAAGTGATTTCCTTCTCAGCAAGCCATACGCAAAAACCCATACCAGGTCACTTTCAGAACGGTCAGCGGCTGAGCCAGGGCAAGGTCTTCGAATCAGGGGAACTTGTCAGAACCTAATGGCCACAAGCGAAGGGGGCCCCAACCTGATTAATGGTGCTGCAAATATCCTGCACAACTTTAGTGTTGCGCTTCATGTCGGAACGTACTGGTCTGCGCATTAGCTGGTCTGCAAATCACGGCACCCTGTAAGAGTTGGTTCTGTCGACGCTTAGGTTTGGATGCTTTTCTTGGCCACTCCATACTCGAGCCGCAGCTTCCCGATAATTTGACATCACAGACACAGATGGCTGCGAACGTGCTCCGGCAAAGCAAGCAAAGCAGGGTGGCAGGGGTCTTCAAACCATCATGGCTCAGTGATCCCGTCAGGTATCTTACGCTGTGCTTGGGACCGACTTGGAGTATGTCACTCTGGCAGGCCCTGGATGTCACACCAAATAGAGGCTGTAGGCGTTTCAGCTAAAAGGCTGGGCTGGGTCACTGCTGAAGCAGCGGCATCAGGCGCTGCTCTCTGTGCTTACGGGGCCAGCATCATGTGCAAAGCTGTAGCCACAAACTCTGTTAGGCGCTCCTGCTGCATTTCACCCCTGCCATCTCGGCGGCCGGGGGCTGATTTTCCATGGAACTTCCCAATCCAAGCTCCTACACGTATGGCCAAGTCTGATGTACGTCCTCTGTCTACTCAGAGAATTGGATCATTCATTTGATCGAACCACGTGAGGAGCACTTGCACTTACACCACTGGCGAATCGCTAAGCAAATTGCACTTGAGGGTCTCTCACGCGGCGAGAAGCAGGCACGGTTTTGCGCAAACAAGATATCCTTTCTGGGTGCGGGGCAGTATCCAATCACCAGAAGGTGCTAACAGCGTACACAAACTGCAAGCTAGACATCTAGAAACTGGATGCTCTTGTTTTTGGAAGGAACTCACTCGCCTCGTGTTTTCCCCACCAAGAAATAAGGATGTTCAAATGGAACGAGGGTGTAGCTTGCACAGCTTCTGTCGCAACAGCTAGTTTGCAAGCGCTTGCTCCTCCACACCCCGTAGAAGCTTTTGCAGACATGTCAGTATCAATCACAAGTGCTGCACCAGTCAGAGCTGCCGTGCACATATTGCATGATGTTTGCGCGGTCCTGCTTTGCTCGACTCTTGGGACGCACCGACATAGCCTTGGCAAGATCCCCAAACAGGTGCTCATTTAAAGCTGAGTATGAAAAGCCTCACCGCGCCAAAGCTCCGGCATTGATTTCAGCTCTGCTGCTCTCACTGGAGTAATGTTGTGCCAGGTTCAATTGCTGCATCTCTTCAATGCCACAGCTCGCCGGGCTGGCGAGAAGGTAACGATTTACAGCTGAAGCGTGCACTCAACCGGATGCTATCATGCCATCCGATGCTCGCAGGTGCCAGATGCGCGACGACAACAGATGGTTGTTTGGAAGGCTATCAGGGCCAGAGTGTGCTTCAATTTGCACATGATGGCATCAGCACTTAGAACCAAGTTCGCAGGGTTCGGGGTACCGGGATTTGCAGCTTGAACATTCGATGTGCGAAGCAGCATGCCTGATGTGTAGAGACTGCAGCTAGTGCCCCGTTTCTCAAGAGACCTAGCTTCTTCGTAAAGCTTGAACAGAAGCAGACCAGCACAGATTTGTTGAAGCACACAGAGGTCCAGGTCAGAGAAGTAGCATGGCCCCAAGACGTTTTCTCAGCAATCGTGCAACTACTTCCCAAATACTGCAGGCCGTCCCAAGCCTTGGCTTAAATTTGCGGGGGCTAGATATGATGAAAATGTCACTATACCAGGTGCCCCGCTGCAGGTCATGATTCACAATCAAATCAATCCTGAAAATCGACCCGTAAAATGAAGTGGAGCTACCCGCTGACTCTCCAAAACTACCACTAGCGTTGCACAATTCAAGATTTCCTTGCGGAAGCTACTGCAATGCATGTCAGACTCGGAAGTGATTGCCTTGTTTGCCATTCGCTCGAGCTCTGACAAGCGCACCGCTACGTGCCTTCGGTGTTAATTTGAGAGGTGCTTCGCCGCCTGCAGACCAATGTTCCAAGGCCACCAGCCCAAGGATACTGACATGTAATGCTGAAGTTGCCCATGTCAGCTCACAAGAGGCGGATTACATGACAAGCTTCGCAAAAACATGTGCACGCAGATGTGTTGGTTCACAGTTCCACTGCAAGGTGAGTTCAAAAAGGACACCTTGTGCCATTTGAAAGCGCATTCGAACCAGCATGGAACAAGCCGACACCTACGTAGAATTACTGAGGTGGAGAACACCTTGCTATGTTGGCATCCACCCAACTGTGAGCCACCTGGTCGAGCGACATTCTTAGCCTTTGAGCATGGCACGGAGCACAGCGTAGTAGCTGTAGCGCCAGTCGAAGCAGGTCTGGGCTGTACGAGGAGCTGCTGGCATGAGCAGCCGTGAGATGCCGGGCGTACAAGAAATGGAAATCACCATGCTAGAACATGGCCGCCTGTCAAAGCCTAATTCTCAAAACTGTCTGCAGTGGGCTTGCTAGTAATTTTAGAGCCAAGATGCAAGATGCACTCCCGCAAGAGTTCGCGACTTTCCCATCCTCCAGACGGTTTTTGGCGCATGGTAGCACTTGATTGCCTTTTCAGCTTGTTGTATTTTTGCCCACCTTTGCATCAGGCTCATAGCCCAAAGGTGGCTTTTGGAGTCAGATCACACAGCCCCGTGGCCCTGCTCACCATCATGGAGGCCTGGCCAAGCCTTTCCGGCAAAAGAACAGACCACAGCTTCTGAGGCTGTATCACGTACGCCCATTGCCACAGGTAAGAAGCTCGACCCTCATGTCACCTCTTGGTTGCAATCCTGTGCCTGAAGCCGATACAAGTCAGTTTCGTTGGAACATCAAAACCCCAAGCCTGCGATCCTGAGGGTGTAACGGTGACCACAGTTTGCCTTCCTGTTTCTTGTTTCGTTTGATTTGTCTGCAGTCGGCCATGAGACTCAGCACATGCATCTTCCAAGAAGGAAAAACATGTTTTTGGCAGGCGTTGATGCAGACTTATCCGGAGAAAGTCTACGACGTTACAAACTGTGTGGAAGCATATGGGGCCTCATGGCTCGGCATCTTCACCAGGATATCATCATGTACAGCTAGTGAGGTGTAAGTGAATCACTGCCATGTACCAACCTATCTAGAGTTCATGAAGATCGAACTTTGGAAAGGAAGACGCTGGAATTGCAAAGCGAAGAGATTGTGCTGAAGACCCAGAATTGCTGCGTGTCCGCCGTGCAGCGGCGGCCATATGCGCAGCTGAACGTTTTGGAGCATCGCAGCACCTGCTTTGGCCTGGCAAATGGTATCAACTCAGACCTAGCGCCGATGGATGATGATGGAAACGGTGGCATTGTCCCAGGGTGCGGCTGTGACGCAGTGTATGTTCAGGAGATCGTGCGTGAGATGAACCTGCGGAAAGAAGGTCGTGGGAAAGTGGCGCAAATGAGACAGCAAAAGTGCATGCTGGAAAAAATAACGCAGTTGTCTTTGAAAGTTCCGATGCTTTTGAAGACGCTGGGAGTGGAGTACCCGCCGAGCGATGCCACACTTCGGCGCGTGTTTCCTGAAGGAGCGCCCGAAATGCGACCACTCGCCAAAGTGATCGGCATGGAGCCGCTCCCAGAGTTTGGATCAAGCGAGTACGAAGCTTTGCTCATCTGTTTAAGCATGTCGAGTTTTAAGACATTTGTTCTTGCCAGAGTTATACTGGGCTGGTTAGCAGCATGCCGTCTTGAGCCACGCAACTCTCACCGTCACAATTGAATGATTTGCATGGGGAGTACAGAAGCTATGATTTTGACAGCTCAGGACGTGACACACTGCTGCCAAAATATCGCATGCACGTCAAGGCTGTTAGAGCTTGGGCCAGATGAAGCGACCATCACGACAAGGCAGAGTCTCACAGGAAGCGTTTGCGGCCAAGATTCTCCAGGAATTCTACTTCTGCTGAACTTCACATGAGCAGAATTCCATGCTTGACACTCCCTTGTGAGAAAGCAACTGCAGAGGTCATGACAGCCAAAGTCCCTTACGCAAACATTGAGTCGGCATCCTGGCAGCAAGTGCAGCCTGTGAGCCTTGCACTTGCATGCTCCGCTAGAGTCACCTGTCGTTGGTTTGTTTGTTTATGTTTTTTTTCTGGACAACGCAGGTGGACGCCAAGAATGCTTGCTGCTGCCTGAGCATGTTGACAGCGGGGGAGCTCACTCAGCCTCCCGGAAAGGAGATAGATGAGGGCATAAGCCCTGGTTGCGGTTGCAATGGCCCTCTGGTCGAGCAAATACGAGCAGATCTTCAAGCACGCGTAGATGTGCGCGGCAACTTGGGGCAAATCAAGCAGCTGGAGAAGATGATGCTAAAGTTTCACGACGTGGCAGCTCAGCTTCCACTCATTTTGGACAAGGTCGGCGCCGACACCTCCTACCCACCAAAGCAAGAGACAATGACAAGCATCTACGGAAGCTCTGGGCCGGACTTGTCTCAACGTTCTGCGGCCCCGCACGCAACAGCAAGCGAGCAGTTTGAAACTAAGGAGTACGACGTGCAGAACCAAACGCAAAATATTTGTGACTTGATTTGCACGCTGGGCATAGCAGGTTGCAGCACTCACACCTTGACCCTGGAGCCTGAGCAGGCTGTTACGAGACGCAGCAACAAGTGCTTCAATTCTGTCGACAGGAAGCCATATGCACAGCTTGGTTCTGTAGACGAAAAGGTTTGCTGTTGTATACACAGCGTCAATGGACTTGCTCCAGGTTGCTGCGGTGACCCAGTCCTTGTTAAGGAGATCGCTGAGGAAATGCAGGCTCGCAAAGTGGGGCGCGGAAACATTGCGCAACTGCGAAACCAGGAAAACACAATGATCAAGGCCTTGGAGACAGAGTCTTGGCATCCAAGCAGCTTGAAGTCCTTCCCAAAAGAATCAGGTCGTGATGTTGTTCTCTCTCGTTGGAGGGCTGCCCTGCACCGAGGATGTCCGCACGGATGTGTTTATGCACAAAAAAGGCATGGAGTACCCCCCATCGCAGCAAACACTTCACGCAGTGTATGGGCCTTCGGTGCCAAAGCTTCCTCCAGATGAGCCCGTGCATTTGAACGCCTCTGAGCAATTGGAAACGAAGAACTATCTTATCACGAGCGCCTGTGATCAGTACTGCTGTTGTGGCACCACCACCATGGAGCTCAATGACGAGGAGGCAATCTTCCGATATAACAACTGCCTTTGCAGCGACACACGAAGGGAGCCGTATGCGCAGTTGGGCTCTGTTGAGCCCATGTCTCAATGCATGGGGCAGTGCAGCAGCGTCCACACAGATCAGAACCACATCTGCCCTGGATGCGGGTGCGATCATACCCTTGTCAACGATGTAGCAACGGAGCTTCAAAATCGCAAAGTCAAGCGTGGAAACATAGCCCAGATCCGCCTGCAGGACGGAAGGGGAGAGTTCATGCTGTGATAGTGGGACGTGCATGTGCTGAGCTCTGCCTGCAGGAGAACCTAATCCTTGAGGTGATCAAGCTCGGAATCAAGTACGACATGATTCTACACAAGGAAGGCATTCAGTATCCTCCAGACCAGGAGAAGATGAAGCTTATCTTTGGCGAAGGTTCAGACTGCTCAATGATACATGCCCACACGCCCTGGGAGGTTCCATCATCCCTCCCCTAGTCTTAGCGTCATAACGTACCTTACTAATTTGAAGCGCACATATCCCCCTTTCTATTGTCCGGACGAAGCATTCGCCATTTGCGCATCCCGAGATATCGTCTCCCAACCATCTCCCAGAAATGTAACATGGAATCACGAGCATGGTGGTGTGGGATCGCTTCGTGGTTTCGCACTCTCGGTCTCGCGTCACGGGAGTTGGTGAGCATTTACGCCTATGCTATTGGAATGTCGCTTAAGGTCACAGGTTATTCCCGTCTCTTGCTGTTTCGGGCGTTGTAGCTTGAATGCAGCTTGCGACGCAGAAATTTGCTGCGGCCATGAAACTGTCCTCGCAGACAGCACGGAAAGTCTAGCAGAGCCTGCAAGAGCCCATCGCGCACGAAGAGCCCTGACGCCGTAAAGTCTTTGAAGAACCATGCTGTGCACTTGCACATGGTAGTGGACTATTGCACAGCGAAAGGTTTAATTGCAAATCGGCACGCTGGATATTCAATCCGCGCGAGACATGTTGAGACGGGTGAAAGGAACCTGCTCGATTGCAAACATGGAATGAAGAAAGAAACAAAACACCAATGAAAGCGATTCTCAAACAGGAAGGCGCGGAATTCAACCCACCCTTCGGTTTGGTAGTGTCAAGTCGAGTCTTCCACAGGTGCTGCGATGCCAGATTTGGATGCCCCTGCAGCACCTCGCCGCGCTTCTCGCAGCTTTATGCAAGTGGTAGTGCCTGCTGGCCTCCGGGTTGCTTGATTGAAATCCGTGTGGCATACCTTTCTAGCATTGTCTCTAGACAAGTCTGGGCGCGTCATCAAGGCTGGGGACGCGTTCCAGGTCACAAGCCCGCTCGGTGGACAGTGCAAATCTCAGATTTGGATTGCTCATGCTTACCTACTCGCCCGACTGGCAGATATCATGTCTTTCTGCGTGTGGTCTGACGTGACATTTGTGCGGCCTGCAGGTTTGAAGTCACAGTTCCTGAGGGAGCCGTAGAAGGTCAATCCATACAAGCTTCCTTGCTAAATTCAGTGAGACGTGCCGCATATGCTGGATGTGATGGGTAGACAGTGTTAGAATATGTTGTGAAATCTAGGTTGAGATCCCGCGCGTTGAGCCAGCTCAAGAGACTGAGCTCGCTCCGCCACCTCGGCACAGTCATTTTGATATTGCAAGATGATGGTCTATGTGAGTCACGAAGGCTCTTCTTGAGAGAAAGCTGAGCTTATTACCCATAATTATGTGAGTCTGGGGTGCTTGGGGGTTTTGGGGGGGCCGGGCCTAAGCCGCAATTCTGGCGGGTGCTCGCGTGCGGGCTCATGGGAGCGAGCCGGGTGTAGGATAAAGAAGCTCCGAGCACGGAGCTTTCCTATCTGCCGCTGCCTATCAAGTAGCTCTCTAGTGATGGTACATGAAGCGTTTGCTGATCTCATTCCTTTTTGGACTTTGGAGTGCGAGTTAGCTGTCGTTGTTCTCGTTGTCAGAGGGGTTGACCGTTTTGTTGCTGTTGTTGCCTTGCATATGTTACTGCCACATCGCCATTGCGTCTACTTGTAGTCTAGGGACACCAGACTGGAGATGCCCCCCAAAAGCACTTCCAAAGGACCGGGTGACTACGCACACTGGAGATGGACAGGACATGCAGACACTACCACAACTTTCAAACCATGGCACTGTGAGAAGAGATTGCAAGAGTCAACAAAACAAGAAGGTCAAGCGGCACCTAGAGAATGTCAGGAACCAGCCCAACCCAAAATCCTCCATGCTGACCGCGCAGACCGTTATCCTTCCAAGCCAGGCTGCTTTGAGAGCTAGAAGTCCTGTTGAGGCCGCTGAGCAACATCCAACTTCGCATGTAAAAGTCTCACAGACCACTCGAGCCACCAGTGGGAAACGTCCTGCGTGTGGTCATGCACAGCGGAGAGAGTTCGAGTCAGGCAGCAGTGGTTTCTGACACTCACAGGCAAGACCCCACGCACAGCCTCAAACCAAACCTATGAACCTGAAAAGCATGAAGAATTTCGAGATGTTTTGTCCCGTGTACCAACCTAGTGACATCGGGAAGAGAACATTTATCATTCCACCGTACGTCAACGAAGGAAGCAAGCGCAGGGTCAATCATGCCATGAGCAGGACATTCTAGAAAACTTGAAGTTCGCCAAGCTCAGGGTTTGAGTGCAAGCCTGGACATACTCTTTTTCTCGAGACAATCTCATGCATGAGCAGTAGACGAATCCACGTCCACAATTCCAACAGTGCAAGTGCGCCACCTTGCATTTGTAAATGTTTGACCTTAGCTCCCGAAACCACGCGTAGTTAAGCTACATCATGCAGATTTCTGATCGCCTATAAATGCGTGGGTCCATCCCTCAAATCCGAGGCTTGCTTACAATGCTTCTTGAACACTTTGCAGCAGACGAAGAACCTGATCCGTTGAAAGTGCATCGGAAATGCGATTGTGACTTGGGCTTTTGCCTTGGGGCACACAAAGCCTGCCGTCCGTAATTCATGCTCACATTAGGAGTGAGCGCGGTGGCAAACCCGCACTGCTTGCATAAGGCATAAGGGTGATTGATTCAACTCTGGCCTTTCTTGCAGCATTGGTTGACCTTCGCTTCAAGCGGCATGAAAAAGAAATCCAGCTTTGCAACGCTATGCTTGCCGTGGGCCCTGGGTACGTCTTCACTACCTTGTCCTTGCCTCACTTGGTTTGAGTAACGATATTGGCACAAGCCTGTTGCCAACCACCCGTCTTTGTTCGAACTTAGTCACGCAAGCCTTTGTGCAGTACTGCCACAAGCATGGAAAATCTCATGCGAACATTTCCGGAGAGAAGTTTCGACGTGACGAACTGGATAGAGGCCTGCATCGGCCTGCCACTGTGCCTTCTCACCAGGCTGGGGTCTTTATCAAATTCAGTACGTGTCATGAGCCTTGCCCAAGCGCACTTGGCTACTGCCAGGAAGACGCTTGATTTAGAAGGCGAAGAAGCAGTGCTTCGCACCAGGAATTGCTGCTGCAGTTGTACACAAAGACGACCCTATGCTCAGCTAACGCTGTTGGAAGAACGGTCGCTGTGCTTTGGAACTTGCGCAGCTATCAACTCAGATTTGGCACCAATGAACGACAAAAACGAAGGTGGCATTGTTCCTGGATGTGGATGTTCTCGTTCTTTGGTTCAGGAGATTGTTCAAGAGCTCAACCTCAGGAAGGATGGCCGCGGAAAGATTGCCCAAGTTCGACAGCAAAAGTTCATGCTTGACAAAATCGGTAAACTGGCTCTTCAAGTTCCAATGCTCTTGAAGCATTTTGGCGTCACATATCCTCCAGAGGAAGCGACTTTGCAACGTGTTTTCGCACAAGCCACTCCTGTCGTCCGTCCTTTGTCGGAAGTTGCTGTCACTCAGCAACTTCACGATTTTGAAACCAATCAATACGAAGCTCGGCACCAGCATGTTTTGAGTCAAGTTTTATGTTTGCAAGCAGACAAGGGGACGTACCAATAGCATTACAGTCTGCACCACAGAGTGGCATTGATCTGGGAGACAAAGTGCAGCTGAGCTCTAACTCGTTAGGATCAAAGTGGTCGTAATCGGCCTTGCAGCAGGTCCAGTAAAGTTGCGTTCATGGATTCCCCAAGAAGTGCAAAGAGTTGGAGAGCAGTGTCTGTGATACTTGCCAAGGCTCGTAGGCAGAACGTCAGCAATACGACTGCTTCCCTCAGTTTTTGCTGCAGCTATGCCTTCAGAATCAGGAAGGCTTGAGAAGCTAAGGATGTCACTTGCTGCTGCGAATCATTGTTGTGCACCACGAAGCTGCTAGAGTTGGCACCGGACGAGGCAGATGGAAGCTCCTAGCGCTGTTGCTCGCTTCTTGCTACTGAACTATGCTCTGAGTTTCTCTTCTTGCAGGCAGTCCTCACCACTCGGCAATACATCACCGGCAGTGCATCTCGGAAGCAAGGAGGTGGATCGTTCCAAGATCTGGCCGCCCCGCCAAACAACAGATTTGTGGTGGGGCCGGAGCCCCTTCGCCCATTTCATGGATTCACGGGTCTCAATTTATGAACGCGGGAGGTCTGAGAAATGAGCTCCAGGGGTCGGACTCATGCTGCTCATGCCAACCAATAGCAACTACGTCCACTTCACGACCCTGTCACATTTTCAAAGGGTTCCAAGAACCTCGAGTTCTTCCTCTTTCCTATGGATGGCATTTGTAACGCAACATCATCCTGGAAGCCTGGGATCCCTGCGCGCACCTGTGCATGCTACAACTACTGACATCTGCTCGCTACTGACATCTGCTCGCGCTCAAATGTCTGTGCTCGCACTTGTTTTGCTGGCAGCTGCTATAGCTGGGCAGAGGTTGGGGTGCAGTGCTGCGCAAACCCAAAAGCCAACCCGCGGTTGGTCCCTGAAGTGGGCCAGTATCTTCACCTCCCTTGGCGGTTCGGTCCCACATTGGCCGTTGCTAGGGCATGTGACCTCCGTGGCCAGATGAAGCAGCACTTGTGCCAGGAAGTGAACTGTGTGCCGTCCAGTGAGGAGAACATGCGTGTATGTAGGTGCCTCTGTGCCCCATATGAAATATGTGCGTGTGCGCAGCTATAAGTGCTGCATGGACAGAGCTGAAGATGAAATCACATGTGCAAACCCAACCGATAGCAAAAACGAGGGGCGCTCAGGGCACGTGTTCAACAGCTTCGAGGATTCATATCCCTGACGTCCCCATCCCTGGCCTTTTGCTTCTTGGAGAAGCTGACCTGTGTTCGCACTGCCATTGGCGAACGCAGAATCTCCATTGTATGGCGCGTTTCCATGCTTGCAATTTCGAAAGTGCCAACATTCACAGGAATGGGGTGCCTCCGAGGCGCCATCTTCGTGAAAGCCAAGGGGATGGGACAAGCTGCGGCACAATCCCTGTGACTGGTGGCTTTGCATCTCAACTTCTCGGATTTCCTATGCAGAGCTAGCTGCATTTCATGCTAGACCTGAGACAACATTCCTCAGATATGACAATCCATCGTTATGTATACGCATCGTGTTTCATTTATATGGCCTCTGCGAAGCCGCATAAGTACCTTCTGTCCTGCCTATACCACATAAACTTACGAATGCCATGCACGCATTTCTGAATTCCTAAAATCCTCCGCCTGAAAACCTCCCACATGCACACAGCTATGCAGCGCCAGGCGTGGGGGGAGGGAAGGGGAGTGCCAGGGTGACGCACGGGCTGCTTAATTAGGAATCAAAGGACACACGCTACTTTGTAGTGAGTTGCTGGCGCTGTGGCCAGACTGACAGGTTGTGACCAGCAGGGTCCCTTACGCAAATATTGAATCGGCCCCCTGGCAGCAATTTCTTTCATTTGCGCTGGCCATCACCACCTGCCTGATGCAGGTGGATTCTGTGCAATCTTGCGCTTGCCTGTCCCAGTTGGAAGCTGGAGAGTTAACAAAGCCGCCTGGCAGACAAGGCCATATGCCCATACAGCCAGGATTTGGCTGCAGCCGAAGCCTTGTAGAGGCCATCCGGGCTGACTTGCAGGCACGAGTGGATGTCAGGGGAAACTTGGGTCAAATCAAGCAGCTGGAGCAGATGATGCACCGATTCGATGACTTCGCTACAGAGTTTGCACTGATTCTGGACAAGCTTGGAGCTGACGCTTCCTATCCTCCTTTGCAGGAGACCATGCGTCAGCTGTATGGAGATCAAGCCCCTTCCACCATCCCTGTTGGAACACATTCGCTGCCAAGCCGAGTCTTCGACACCGCAGCTTACAACGTCCGGAACGATGTCCTGAATTGTTGCTGCCTTGCGCTGACATGTGGAATTGCAGGGTGTACCTCGCACTCTTTGACACTGGAATCTGAGCAGGCGGTGGAACGCATTAGCAATAATTGTATGAGCTCTATAGATCGCAAGCCGTATGCTCAGCTACGAGCTGTTGATGAAGAGATCTGTTGTTGCTGCCATGGGGTGAATGGTTGGTTTCCCGGATGGTGTGGCGATACACGCACGGTTCAGGAGATTGCCGCTGAATTGCAGGCGCGCAAAGTTGGACGAGGCAACATTGCACAGATCAGAAATCAGGAGAACACAATGGTCAAGGCTGTGGAAGCAGAACCTCAGATGACCTTTCATCATTGTCATTGCTGCGCACAGGCAGTGTTGAAAGACGGGTAAGGTTCCATAGCATTGGAGCTTTCCTAATAATAGCAACTCAATGCAGATGCGTGCAAGCCAGGGAGATAAGGGCATTTGCGCTTCATTTCCTTCACTTTAGCCTGCCATGCCCTGCATGGGCTTAGGGAGGGTTTAGTGTCCTCCTGACAAATACAAGGCACAAGCCTCGCTCCCAGCCATCCAACGTACAGGCAAATAGAAACCTACTTGTGGGTGCGAGGTTGACCATTTCGCCAATTGTACACCGCTAGTGGATTGCTATCAACAGGCACAGCCGGTATGGGCGCAGCTGCCAACTCAACTTTTCAACCATGCTAAGGAAGCTAAAAGGAGATAGGTAGCTTGGACCCACGCCCCAGTCCCAGATGCTCCTGGAAATGGCCCAAGGACATTCGATCTGATGTTCTGTTGAAGCAGCAGGGCTTACAGTATCCACCGTCTCAAGAAGCAATGACAGCTATGTACGGAGTGCAGCCACCATTGTTGCCATCGGCGACGGCAGAAGCGGGCCAAGGCATCCATGCAAGCGCTTCTGAGCAAATGCCAACCAGGAATTTCGATATTACAAGCATGTTCGAGCGAGTGTTCTGCTGCTGTCAGACAACGCACTTGGAGCTCAACGATGAAGAAGCCGTATTCAGGAGGAAGAGTTGCTGCCTGAAGGCCGTCCGCCGAGAACCGTATGCTCAACTGGGATCGGTGGAGCCTGCACAACTTTGTTGTGGTGTATGCGTCAACGTGCACACAGACCAAAACATGGTCTGCCCTGGGTGTGGTTGCAGCCATGACAAAGTTAGAGAAGTTGCGACCGAGTTGCAGAACAGAAAGGTCAAGCGCGGCAACATTGCGCAGATTCGACAGCAGGACAAACAAGATTCGATTCAGAGTCGGATTGGGAATGGGGCGAAGGCAACGAAGCACAAGCAACTCACAGAATGCAGTGCTCTCAGTCAAGAAAAATGCAAGCGCCCTTCAACACCCATTCGTTGCCAGCAGAAGTTTGGAGGTACAGTAGGCACTGCAGCAGACGGAGCCTGATGGGTTGCCAAGAGACCTGCAGCCAAACAATACTTAAAAGAAGTAAGCAGGGCCGGCCTATGCGAGAACAAGTGCTGCAGCGCCCATGCACTGCGGGAAAAATTGATTACTAGGCACTAGCATGCTAGAAGCATGTTGCTTCACGCCCCGCACTGCTGGTGATACGATTATCATACGATGGTCAATAGTCGTGGCTAATACGCTCATTTTCCTTCTCCAGGGACCTGTGCCCCAAAGTCCGGCTTGATGTTGAGTGGCTAAAGTTTGATTTTGGGGGGCCCAAGCAAGGCAACAGCAACCCTGCTCAACCCCTGAGGAGAATTTGATGGTTGAAATCATCAAGCTGGGGATCAAAGCCGACATGCTCATGCACAGCGAGGGCGTGCAGTACCCACCAACGCAGGCGAAAATGATGGAGGTATTTGGCCAAGGCATGTGGTTCATGAGAGTTCCAGAAAACACATGGCAAGACTGGCATCACTGCTTTCGCCTGACAGATGTGTTGATACCGGGCTCTCAGACAGCATTGAGCCATACGATGCAAGTGTTGGTGCCACCTGGTCTCAGAGCGCCTTGCCCGCAGCCAGACTGTCAAATACTTTTCCACCAAGACAATACTGGAGCATGCGTGCCGTTGCCATGAGCTAGCAAACCTAATTGACAGAATCTGCAAGAAAGTGTCCTTTGTTCCTGCCGATAGGCCCTCTGCCTGCTTTGGCACCTGGTCATTTGGTAGCATCCAAGCCAAGACTCTGCCGTTGATCATGTTGCGCGGATGAAACAAAGCAAAAGCAAGCCTCCAGCCTTCATTTCATTCATCCCATTGCTCCTTGAGTAAGTTTGAATTGTGCCAGGCAGGCGATGCTTTCCAAGTTGTTGGACCTCGTGGAAGGCCTCACGTGATCCGGTGCTGCTCATGAACATGGAAGGGATGGCCGCTTGACTTTGGGGCCCCTCCTGAAATTGGCGCGTGCTTTTGCCAGATTGCAGAGGAGAGTGGGAAATCCAGGTGACCGAAACGCTCACACCCCAAAACCAGACAAACTTGCCCAAGCACCTGCGCAGCTTTTCGCGCAGGGATTTCGACAGTTAAATCATTCACGTGTTCATCTCATCACTTGCAGTTTCTTGCTTGTGTGTACTTGGTGGCGACTGCGGTTGCTAGGAGCAGCCAACGTGCATGAGCCCTGAAGGTCGGAGGATAGGCAAAGGCAAAACCAGACGGCAGCAAAGGAATGCCAGCCCTGGGCCTCAACTGAGTATCTGACTTCAGTGACTCCAGCAAGCTTGTAACTCAATGCAGGAAATCCAGACCTCCTGCTGCAAAGCGTGAAGACCCTAATTGGATCATGCAACCTTGCAGATCTCCCTAACGTAGCGATTGTGAGCTCATGTAGATGGTGGCAGACTGCAGACGGTGGTGGCAAACTGACTTCAAGCAAGATTACTTCTTGAGCTTGACTCAGTTTCAGTAGAGGTCCTCAGGCTGTGCTTCTTTACAGACAGTTGGGCGTTTACATCTGTGCGATGTTGGAACAAAGAACCTGCTTCATGATGGCATGTGCTGGAAACTTTTGTGCAGGTTCGAGGTGACGATACCACCGGGCGTGGCGGATGGCCAAGTTCTGCAGGCAGGAGAGTTGCTGCATTCGGCAAGTCTTGCCTCCACAGCTGCCATGTGCTGCACTGCATCAAATCAGAGTTGAGATGCAAGATTTGTATGCATGATGGGAGTTGCTTTGCAAAGCAAGAAGGCAATTCCAACAGGTGCAAATTCCTTTACCTCAAGCTCATGCAGTAACGGAGTCCGAAGCAGCACCGTGCCCATGTTGCAGCTAGCAGCTAGCAGGCCGTTTATCAGCTTATACCTTGAGTGGTCTTCTAGCATCAGCCAAGGTTCGCAAGCAATGCCGCGTGATCATCTGTGAGCCTATGACTCATGCTGAAGATGTTTCATCGAGCTTGCTGCGCCTCAAGCTGACATTTATGACCATCCATTTTTAACGGTCACATGCAGTAGTTCGGCGCCAGCTCCATTGGCCACACCCTGTAGGGGAGAGACTTTTCTTACGTGGCATTAGTTGAGAAGGCAGATAATGAGGGTATGGTGCAGAGGCATGCGCTTGGCTTGCCGGAGCGCCATGTTTGCAGCAATCAAACTTGGAGCGGAGTCAACAAAAGCTTGCGTGCCAAGATGAGCAGACCCACAAATGTTTTCAGCAAGCAATGCAAGGCAAAGAATAAAATTGAGTTATCCTGCTGGAAACGTCATTTCGGCACCAGGTCACGAAAGCTGGTGCCGGAAGATTTCGTTCCTCTCCCTCAAGTGGTCAGATTTTGGCTCGTATGAATGAGTTTGAATTAAGCCTCAATTGAATGGACCCCGAGAGTTCTTTGGCAGGGAAGCAATGAATAAATAGTTTTAGTCGTGCTAGCATATGCACAGGCTAGATGACTAGATCATAGCAACGATTCATAGAAAAATTCTGATTCCTTGGGAATATGGAAAGTACGAAGCTTGAAAAATCGATTGTCAATATCTAAATAAATGAAGAAAATTGTATATTTTTCTGAAAATATATAAATGAGAAATTAATTCAAAAATAAAAAGAAAAATATCTTATTATAGAAAAGATTCTTGGAAGGATCTGCCATATTTTATTATTATTTTAGATACGGATTCGATTCTTAATTTCATCTTCATTTTCGTCGTGATTTGCCCTTGAATTTCATTTGATTTATATATATATTAATATATAATTCTTCTTGGCGGGTATCCGTATTCAAATCTTTTTTTAGGATATCTTTGATGGAATATTCTCTCTTTTTGGTCTTCTCTTTCAATTTCCGTATTTATGGTTA